GTCCGAGCTCACTTGGAACGAGTGGATAGGGACACTGCCGCATTCGCACAAATCTGTCAGGCAAGGCTGGAGCCTCAATCGGATAAAGCCTCAGGTCCTGCACCCGAGACCTCAGGGGATACCCAGGCAGCAGGGTGCCGACCAGCGGCCCCACCTCGGACTCTCACCATGCACGAGTCCAAGATGGCTAGAGCATTTGGGAAGCATATTCCCGTCGAGGGTTCCAAAGAAGCACAGCGACATTCCCTGGTTCAACAGGCACTCAATGCATCGCAAAAGTCCTTTAACAAGGTTCGGTTGGAGTCTCCGGGACCCTTGGACATGCCCGAGGGGAAGTTGGATGCCATGGACTGATGTCCCGTCGGTCGCGACCTTACTCTGCAATCCACCTTCCTTTCCGACATGTCCGATGGTTGTCCCAGGTAGGGCAAGGGAGCCGGATGCGGCCCTGGAAGCAGGTGGTCTTGCCAGGTTTTTGCACTCGTGTGTGCGGCCAAGTAGGCTCGGCACTCGCATGACGATCTGTGGCCCGTTTTTGCAGTCTCAAACCTTAGGGGCTTGCCGCAGTAGAAGGAAACAGGGTATCAGGCTGCTGCACGGATGTCACGCAAGCGCCCGGCGGCGGCGAACCCAGCAACCCCGCCACAGGAGGCTCCGAACTACTGGGACGTCGACAGCGAAGAGCTCGACCCTCTCTCCGCACACTTCTGGGCGGATTCGGATTCCTCTGAAGCGGAGCCTGGAACTGCAGCAAGTGCTAAACCAGCTGGGCCTCCGCCACCGACTCCGGTTAACTTCCCACCTGGGGCTTCAAGGCCGGCTCTGCGGGACCTGCCGTCTCCAGCGGTGCCCCCAAAGGTGCCGTCTTCCGGCCCAGTTCTTGCTACCAGAGGGCAGGCTCAATCTAAGGCAGGCAAGGGAACCACAGGAGGGAACCGACTTCCTCAGCTTCCCCTGCTCCCTCCCTGGAGTCGCCTGCTGGCCCAGGATTGCCGACTGGGTTGGGAGTTGGAGCTGCCACTGCTGCGGCCAAGGCGACCACGGCCAGCCTCACCGGAAGGACATCGACCGACGCGACAGAGACGGAGGCAGCAAGCATGGACCCCGTGGGTGGGGTGCCGACGTCTACGGCCCCTTCGCCTTCCTCCTTGGAGCCGTCTTCCGGCCCGTGGCTGCCACCAGCAACGGGGCCCTTGGGTCCTGTTTGGACGCCCTTTCACGGCCCGCCACCTCCCGGCGGAGCCGCCACAGCGTCGACCGGCACGGGCAGCGGAGCCACTTCAACTGATCACATGGGCAAGTCTTCAGCGGTGGCGTCCCTGGGGGTTGTCTCTGGATCCGTGGCGCCAGCACCGAAAAAGGCGCCGGCACAACTCGTTGGTTCGGTTTTGCTCACAGTTCGGCCGGCACCTGACAGCCCAGAGACTCAGTGAGCATTTTTGTGGGCGAGAAGCTAAAGACAGCCACACCTGCCGGTTGGGTCACATCTGCCTAATGTCTTTACTGTGCGGTCGTGGAGTTATGCTGTTGCCAGGCACCGCCGGAGAAGATGCGGCCAACGGCTTACGTGACCGTCTCAGCATCACGCGTCGATTGTCGTTCTGCTCGGAAGGTGAACAAGGCACTCAACTGTCTGAAAGCATCCACCCTTCAGTCCATCAAGTCATGTCGGCTTCCAGGGAAGAACGGGGCCTGCCCCCCAGGCCCTA